CTGTTAGGATGATTAGAGGAATATAACGGCTTTCATATGAGAGGAAACTTGAAGGGGATTGTTATTTTAGTCTAGCAAAACAAAAACTTGAGAAAGGGGAGTAAACCCCAAGGGGAAACACCCCCCCCCCAAAGAAAACTTTTTGAGCTAAAGGATAGAGTTGACTTAAGTACAAATGAGTAGGAACTAAATTTATTCTTGGATTGCTCTTTGTATTATCTTTACATTAGAACCTAGTCTTTAATGGCTTGCATTATGTATGAGAATCCAGATAGGCTTACAGCTTTAATTATTCCACACAAAAGACAAAAACAGTCATTAAGTATTAAATGCATCATTTACATGATAATAAAAATCCTACTCTTGCAATGAGCTTTTGGGTAACAACGGCATCGTTTTTTTGTTATGATTCTTCAACTTCTTAAATTGCAGTTTCACAGGTGTGATCCCTATTAGTTGCAACCATTATGAAAATGAGTTTTATCACATGAACTTTTGACTGGGGTCCATTTCAGTGTCACCCTGGCCCTCATGCAGCAGCTAGAATATCATGGTTTCAAAGCTCAAGATACTTAATAAAGGCAGTCCACTTGTTCAGACTACACTGTCTGTATCAGCTTCTACCTTTACTAGAAGTGGCATTTTCTGTCATTGTATTAGTTCTGCAGGGCCAACAGGAGTAAAAATATAAAAAAAACACTTTTTATCAGTAAAACAGAACATATGTTCATCACAAAAAACACATCAGTAGATGGCCTGAACAAGGAATCTTTACAGCCAATTTGTTGACTATGGCATTGTTTTAATAAATGTGTAACACCTATGATTATTTGCTTAATAGTAAAAGATAGTAGGGCTGTGCGAAGCTTCGGGTGGTGATTCGATTCGGAGGAGATTCAGCCTGATTTGGTGTCCAAATCTCTGAATCCGACTCAAATCAGGGGACCAACTAAAAGGTCCAAATCGATTCAAAGCTCTCCAAATCTTCGGAAAAGATTCAAAGAGCTCTGATGATTTGGACAGTCCCCAGTGGCTGCAGCAGAGAGCTGCAGCCAGATATGGAGCTGGTAAGTACTAGGGGCAGGGGCGGAGGGGTTTGGGAAGGGGCCAAGAGAGCCCCCAACGCCCCCCCGACCCTGCCCACTCCTCCAGCACCCCCCATGGCTGTCCCGCTGGCCACAGGTCCCGGTCCTTTGAAGAAAAGCCCTGGTGCTCACTGGGTGCTGCCGCGCGGGGGTCAGTCCCTACTGCCCCCCACTGCCCCATGCTGTATGGGGGGTTCTGTACGAGCCCCCCAATGCCACTCCCCAGCCCCTCCCCATGGCTGCCCCACCTGCCACAGCCCTGGCCCTTTAAGAAAAAAAATGGAGAAAAACCCCAGGACTCATTGCTCCTGCAGTGGCCTCAGGGGACTCGTAGAAGAGGCCCCCATGCAGTGCAGGGCAGTGGGGATCACCCCCCGCTAGCAGGAGCAGTAAGTGTGGGGTTTTTCGGGGGGGGTTCTTAAAGGGCTGGAGCCATGGCAAGTGGGGCAGCCATGGGAGGGGAACTGGGGGATTGGGAGGGGTCAGGTGGCTCATGGCAGAGCCCCCCACACAGTGTGGGGCAGTGGGGGGCACCAGGGATCACCCCACTGCCTAGCAGCACCCACTGAGTCAGGGCTTTTTTTTTTTTTTTGACAAGTGCTGGGAGCTGGGGTGGGCAGGGCAGCTATTGCCAGGCTGGGAGAGCAGGCGGTGGATGGGCCTGGCTGATTCAGAGATTTGGCAGCAGCCAAATCTCTGACTCAAATTTGGCTGAATCGATTCAGGACACTGATTCATAGTTTCATAGTTTCTAGGGTCGGAAGGGACCTGAGCAGATCATCTAGTCCGACCCCCTGCCATGGCAGGAAGAGCACTGGGGTCAAATGACCCCAGTAAGGTGGTCATCCAACCTCCTCTTAAAAACCCCCAGGGTGGGAGCCTGCACCACCTCACTTGGAAGCTGGTTCCAGACTCTAGCCGCCCTGACCGTGAAGT